AGTAAGTAAGTAAGTAAGTAAGTAAGTAAGTAAGTAAGTAAGTAAGTAAGTAAGTAAGTAAGTAAGTAAGTAAGTAAGTAAGTAAGTAAGTAAGTAAGTAAGTAAGTAAGTAAGTAAGTAAGTAAGTAAGTAAGTAAGTAAGTAAGTAAGTAAGTAAGTAAGTAAGTAAGTAAGTAAGTAGTTCATTTCTACATTTATATTATTAGCTTACGTTTTGATAGAGCATTCATTAGTTATTAGATTCCAGATGGATTCCCAGAAAAAAACGCAAACTATTTCTCTAGTTCTATTCCAAGTTCAATGACTTTTCATCTCAACTTATTTCGTGACCAAAATTCTCTTACGAATTATAGAGAAATTTATACAAACCACAGGTAATGAATGTTAAAATTTGTAAAATATCATTTCAGAATGAGTAGGTAATACTTATTTAGAATAAGAATTTCTTCTAAATCAATGTCAACTAGTTAACTGCACTAAATAATCAATAAACATTAAGAAAAAAGTAGGAGATAATCAATATGTGATAGTATAGTTAATCAATAAATGATCATTACAAATAAACATGAATTATAAGAAACATATGAAAAGTTGTCACTAATATAATGACATCAAATGAAGATAAATTTGAGTATAGTTAGTAAGATCACTTTTCTCTTCTTCTTCTTCTTCTTCTTCTTCTTCTTCTTATTATTATTATTATTATTATTATTATTATTATTATTATTATCATTATTACGACTGGTTCTATCGATAGAATCATTGTTACGGTTCTAGTGAGCAACTTGATCAGTTGACTGGAATTACCGTTGATACAAATCTTATAATGAGATCTATATAAATTCTCAGCTCATTTAGCTTTGAATTAACTGTAACTGTTCATTGAAGGTATAAATCCGACCAATCGATTATTCAATAGTTTTGATGCATAGGTCATTTCTATCTTACCATGTTACCAATTTTATACTATTCATACGAACTTCCTACTGATGTTAATTAGTACCACTATTACTAATAATTTTCGTAATCCATTTAACGTCTAATGATTCAGTTTGGAACTTAAGGCTAAAAGAGGGAAGGGGCAATGGAAACAAATGTTTTAACACTTATTCATCATAACAAACGTGATATCCGTTAACGAAGTCTACGCACACCAAACTTCAAATAATGTGATTTATACTGAAATAAAGAACCAATCTTAGTAACCCAATCGGTAGAAACTTGGGATTACTAGACGGCTGTTTCATCTCAGTATGGGACTCGTCAGCAGCGCTTGTCCACGACTCTAAAGCCAGAGGTCGAGTTCAGGAATTTCATTCATGTATGCGAGCGCTCTGAGCCGAGATCATGTGGTGTACAGTGACCAAAAGGTTAGACGTTAGGACGGAAGATCGAAGGTCCTAGATTCGACTCTTTCTTTTTTTATTGGTCGCCTTATTCTGATGTGTTCAGGATATAAATGAAATTCGGCAATTTTCACAAACCTATACTGATAATAACACATACTTTGCTAATTTGTATTATGAAAAATTACTTTGTTAGCTTGGCCAATTTGTTACAGTATGGATCCAAGTCGTCTTTCATAACCAGTTTATCAAGGATGTTATTAATAGTACACGCAGTGTCGAGTCACCTAGACTGGTGGCCACATTGCAACATGGTCAATAGCATTCGATCTGCACTAATAAGGACTAAACACACATGACATTAATCACCACTCAGTGATCAATCAATTGTGATTACATCTCAGTCCTACAGGAGGTCGGTCGCGGCTCGGATAGCTCAGTGGTAACGTCTCTGACTGTGAAGCTGAGTGACACGAGATCGAATCCGCCAGGGAGCACCAGTTCCCTCAAGATTACAGATACACCTTGTTGGCGAGTGCCAAGTAGCACGAAAACCGGGTACAGGGTTTCCTGTCGACTATCTCCAACCACCATATAGGCGTCATACATCTCTAAGCTATCTCAGTTGACGAAGATTCACTAACCAATTTTTCACCTTTACATAATACTCTATGCTTTATCACTAATTATTGAATCGTTTTACACTAAGAGATTAACACTTATAAGAATTTAGTTGTATATTTCTAAACTTATTATTATAATATTCTATTCTCGGTTTTATTTCTTATTTCTAGTTATATTAACTTATTAATTCTATTAATCAATCTTACAAAGTAATTTTACATGTTTATTGACGGTATTTATTTCCTTAAATTTCCCCTACAATAGTTAGTTATAATTAACATCATTCTAATAGATAAGTATTTCCGTTCTACTCATAAGAAAAATGTATTTAAAGATGTTTAACAGAATCATACTATACGTTCGTTTGTATATTGCTCAAATTGATTGATTATAATGATTTCTCTTTATGAAAGAATTTTTTTTACCGCGCAATTGATAAGTCCTGAAGAAATAAATGAATGAATGAATGAATGAATCAGTTGTCTTTTGTAAGCGTTTTTTTAAGAGGCATTCCTTTGACAATAAAGAGAGAAGTATTCATAATGTATTCACTGTTAAGTTTGAAACTACTTTCTTTTATGGATATAGTATGGTGAAACAGAAATGAATGACGGTTTAAAAAAAAACATTTTATGGTCAATCGCAATGATTTGTGCAGTTTAGCAGAAATTATTAGTTGTAAATAATGACAAACATTACAATTGGCTGAGCCATGGTTAGTGATCAGTGTCATATACGTCAAGTTCTTCATACTGCAGATCGAAATCTATTGACCAAGTTGCAATGTGGCTATCAGTCTATGTGACTCGACATCACATGCACTATGTTGAGATGAGATTTTGGTTGTGGGTAGCTGATCGGAAACCCTGGACATAGATTTCGAGATATTTGGCACTCGTTTGTAAGGTGAAACAGAGAAGGACCGAACACACATAAGATCGATTACTACCCAATGATCAATCAATCGGAAATACATCTCGGTCCTACAAGAGACCAGTCGCAGTCCAGATAGCTCAGTGGTAATGTCTTTGAATGTTAAGCTAGGTGACACGGGATCGAAGCAACAGCTCCCTCAATATTACAGATACACCTTGCTGAAGAGTGCCAAATATCATGAAAACCTAACCAACATCTAATGAGAAATATCTTTTTACAAATTAAATCTAGATTATCATATATAGAGTAATAATAATAGAATGCATTATTATTAATTTGGCTCCTTGCGAAACGAAATATTTGTCCAAGTAGCAATTAATCGATAAGGGGTTTTTAAGATCGAACATTTTGATATTTTGCATAAGAAACGTACTCCTATTTTGTCTTCACTTGAATCATAAAGCTTCTTATTTATAAAATTAACTTTTGTATCCATAAATTGACCGAATCCGGTAAGCATCAGTAGTGCACAAACAAAATCGAGGCATTACGAATCATCGTTGAACAATCAATTGGATGAAACTCGTCACTATACTTCAGCTTCCTTGACTATGAGAACGAGTTTGACAGTGTGGATAAGAGGACTTCGTGGAACCTTCTTTGACACTGTAGTGTCCTTGAGAGGGTTGTCAACATCATACAGAATTCATACGACAAACTACAGTTAAACGTCATTCTTAGACGACAGCTGACTGATACTCAAGTTACTCAATGTACGTCGCATACCATCAGCAACAACCTGCTGTAAGAGAGGAGATGCCAGCTTCGAGCTAAAGAGGAAAGTGGGAAAAGACGTTGAAAGTGAATGGGATATACATTATGAAACTCAGACTGCAACACGTTGCAAGCGCTAACCTGTAATCTTGAAGGAAAATAGAAAAGAGGAAGTCCGAAGAACACATTACGTCGGAAATTGAAAGTATACAAGAAAAGAATGAATAGTAACTAAAAACAACTGGAAAGGATTGTTCAGGATAGGGTTGAATGGAGAGTGCTGGTAGGCGGCCTTTGATCTTTCACAAGGATTAACAGGCGTAAATAAGTATGGTGGAAGAAGAAACGTTTTGCTCATAATTTATTTATCATAATAGCTGGTGTTTCAGGACACATACCTACGATTATCTGTCAAAACACCATTAAGGATTCTAGTTAGAAATCTAACCAACTACTCAGTGATATAGTCTCATTGATTATTTGATAAATGTGTCTAAATTTCAATTACCGAGAAAACAGATTTTCTAACAGATAACCTTTGAATTCTGACTTGGTAATCAGATCTAATGGTATGAACTGTGATCATTTATTTTAATAACTTTGAATAATTCCTAGAATTCATTATCTATCTGAAGTGCTAATTGTTGATGGAATAAAAAAGGTCTGTCTATTATTGATGTTGTATTCCATACTGATTATGACTGACTAAGCTTTGTTGTTGTTGTTGTTCTGAACTATGTCATCAACGCCTATATCATAGTTAATACTGAATAGATTTCTAAAATATTTTATCAATATCAACATATCATAACAAAATGAGTTTACTTTCTTGAATAATCTTCCTATTGAATTATCATAAAAAGGATTAGTGTTACATACTACTTATATCAGTCAATATAAGTAGCATACACTACAATAAGTGTATCATATCTTCAATATCGTTCTTGTTTTGTAGTTTGCTTTTTATATAGTTTTGAACTTAGCGCATAATTTAAATGAGTTAGTTCTTACAAAATTCAGTGTATTAACATTTAATTTCCATGCAAATATTCATGTACTTTCTTTTTACCATTATTATGAACATGTATTTGTCAACATGAAACACATGATTTACACGTTTGGACTATTGATTTATACAATGAATACTATTAGTATACTCTGTATATGGTTATATTCATCTAATCACAATTAAAGAGATTGATTATTAGATGAGATTTATTTGTAAATGGAATAGGGTTCATAAACGATAGCAAATATATGGCATCATTTGGAAATTAATAAGTCTGATTAAAAATGATTAACAGAATGAGGATTTGTGGAGGACGAAACAGTCGTCCAGTGTTAATAGGTTAACAATGATGGTCTAATTTAGATTGACTCATGAATTCAACTACTAAAAATTCATCATCATCATCATCATCATCATCATCATCATCATCATCATCATCATCATCATCATCATCATCATCATCATCATCATCATCATCATCATCATCATCATCATCATCATCATCATCATCATCATCATCATCATCATCATCATCATCATCATCATCATCATCATCATCATCATCATCATCATCATCATCATCATCATCATCATCATCATCATCATCATCATCATCATCATCATCATCATCATCATCATCATCATCATCATCATCATCATCATCATCATCATCATCATCATCATCATCATCATCATCATCATCATCATCATCATCATCATCATCATCATCATCATCATCATCATCATCATCATCATCATCATCATCATCATCATCATCATCATCATCATCATCATCATCATCATCATCATCATCATCATCATCATCATCATCATCATCATCATCATCATCATCATCATCATCATCATCATCATCATCATCATCATCATCATCATCATCATCATCATCATCATCATCATCATCATCATCATCATCATCATCATCATCATCATCATCATCATCATCATCATCATCATCATCATCATCGTTACCATGTGTTTTTGTCAGCAAACTCTTTTCTAATAAATAGCAATCAGCATAATTGAATAGTAGGTAGTTATTTCAGTTTTGAATTGTTTATAACATAATTGAAAAGACAATTTAAACATGGTAATTCTATTTATGTTGGTTAAAAATTGACCAGTAATTATAATAATTATAATAATGGAAGTTCTGAGTATAAGCTGTAAACAAATCTATGTTTTCAGTGTAGGGATTTTGGTTCACGCATATATTTATGATTTATAAACATAATTATGCTAAATTTTCGAAGTCAGAGGAAACAACCAACTATTCATGTTTGAAAATTATTGTTATTCATAGAACGAAGTATTTCTATCTACTTGAGATAGTTGGATTTAATTCATTTGACATTAAAATTAGAGATGCTTCAAAAAGGGATCTGGGTTAAGAATGTTCACAGAACATAACGCTAACACTTTTTACAAGCAATTCAGTCTATTGTAACATATTTTTTATCATTGAGTATATTCATGTTTAACAAATGTAGGAAAAACAAAGTTTTAAGTGAATTTCTAAGCTTAAAGTTACACAGGCTATTTATTAAGCTTTATTTGACCCATCGTTTTATCAGTCACTTTGCATGTAACACAATTATTATTCAATGCAATCAAGGACAGTTGCTTAACTTTTCATTGGAATTATGAACCCATCTCAGTTAAACCACCATTGATACCTGGAGGTACCGATAAGGCATTTGGCAGTAGTATGGAACTCTTCAGGAGTGAGCATACACTACCCAGTATACAGGAATTGAACTAAGGAACTTCAATGCTATCTGAGGTCGATTAACCTGTGGACCACCGAGACAACATCCAACGGTTTTAATATTGGACTTCAGTCGATTTGCGAAACTCTTCGACTAACTTCTATTGTTATCGGTGGGTAACAATTTACACCCAACACGGTTTTAGTTGCACTGGTTGTAGTTTTCCACTAGAATTCTTAAAATTTCCTTTCAATGCTTTATCTTTGATATGATTTATCTTTTAACTGATGGCTCCATAATTTACATTTACACCATTCTGTTTTTAAAAAGACTCATGAGAAACCTTAATAAAAATTAAAAACGGCTGACCACATTCCCACGGTTACCACTATACGTATATCATACTTTCAGAATGCGATTAATCCCAAGACCATTCATTGGTTATCATTACAGATCATGTAAAGTAAAAAAAAACCAATTTGACCAATAAACTGAGTAGAATATGTTTAATATTATAGTTCTATATATAATAACCCTAATATAATTTATTAAACACTAATAAACACTAACTGAACATTGAAATTTACCCACAAGACATATCACTAGCATCCAATAAAATATCATAATCAATTCATTTGAACTTAGTCAATATGAGATTGGACATAGCAATCTACCAATTTCTAGTATAATTCATTTCTTATTCCAAATTAGTATCAGAAGGTGTTTTGTGAAGATTGTAGTACTCTCAATAGTTGAGATCATAAATCAATTGAAGCTAGATAACCATAGAAAATCTGGAAGCACTGAACGGCCGTTTCGTCCTACTGTGGGACTCCTCATCAGTGCGCACCCACGATCCTGCTCCCACCCGCAGGATTCGAACAGAGAACATATCAGTCTTGCACACGAACACTTAACCACTAGACCACTGAGCCGGCCGGCACCCAACGGTGTTAATGTCTAACTTCAACTAATCCATTGTCATCAGTGAGTTATTATCTCACAATTGACCCAGTCGAACTCCACTGGTAACGGTTTCTCACTAGAACTCTAAGAAATACCTCTTGAAGCTAGTCACTAGTGAGCATACATTCATTAATATCAGAAGGGGGATTTTATGAAGATTGTAATGATTTCAATAGTTGAGATCGTGAATCAATTGAAGAGAACCCTGAAAGCACTGAACAACCGTTTCATCCTATTATAGGACTCCTTACCAATGCGTATCCACGAACCTACTAAATTAGTTTGAAGATAATTTATTGATTCAATTAAACATATATTACACAGTTTACTGACACAAATTACATAATATTGAAATGACCTATAATTGATTTCATATTCACAATAATAAAACTATCAATAAACTGATAATATAATTGATCAGTATAAAAAAAATTGATTTTTCTTTTTATTTTCTTTCTTTCTTCTTTTTTTTAAAAAAAACACACACATTAATTAATATTGTATTTACACCCCATATAGTGTAAATTAAATTTATTGGGTCACTGAATTGAATTAATCATTATTTCTTTTTTAGGTTACTAACTAATGATCTCAATAAAAACACCAAAAAAAAATCAATAAGAATCAATAAAATGATATTTAGGTTGGTTATTATTATTTTGTTTTTGTTGTTGTTGTTGTTATGACAAATAAAACATTACAAATGTAATTTTTTTTATAGTTTACAAAACGTTTAAAAGTTTAACACACACACACACACACAAAAGAGAATTAAAATGATAGTGTTTAATGTATATAATAATTTTTTTCTGGTAAGCGTTTTTCTTTAACGAGTTAGTTTTCTACGGGATCACGTTGCTAACCCCCATTCTCAACCCTCCTCTATTATCCAGGCTTAAAACCGGCAGTAGCCCCCGGAAGGGACTTCAAGTGGAGTTAATGTATATCATACTTAAATCAATTCTATTTCTAAATTTTCATTCTGACAATTTATTTCATATTCATGATCCTTAATAATTGAAATCATGAAATCTTTAGACTTCATATTAAATATTTAACTGTAACTGGGATCAATTTATGATTTTAATGAAATTCAATAATTTTCACAATTATTATAAACAATGATGATGGTAGGTATCATTACTACTTAGGTTTGATTTTGATAATTTCGAATAAATTGAACTTTGGATAGATTGTTATAAATTAACTAATATATTTGTAATATTCCAATGAGTAGAAAAATTTAATTTCCTGACGTTTCGTCACTCAGTGTAGGCCACTTCTTCAGAGAATAAATAATTAGATCAAAACGAATACGGAATATTATAATGATGATAGCTAGCGGTAGAATTCAAGACACACATTTGGGACATTTCATAACTGTATATTGAAAATATAAGGATTTCTAAAAAATTATAATCATTATAAAGATTTAACATGATAAATGATCTATACCTATATGAATGAATTTATGTGTTGTTATGAAATGATTCAAAATTTATTTATATTTTTTGATATTACTGTTATTTTCAAAGACAGATAATGGCCAGTAGTGGAACCCAGGATGCGCGTTTCGTCCTATTTCGAACTCGTCAGCTGGATGTACCTGCATCTCACAGTTGATACTCACTCTGGAACTCGAACTGAATACCGTTCGCTTCAAACGCCATCGCGTTCGCCACTAAGCTACTGAGTTCTGATAGCCACTTGCTTGTGCAATGGGGTGAAACTTAAATTCACTGATTAATTGTAGTATTAAACATTAATAGGAAGATAAAAATAAACAAGACTAAGTGAATTTTACTATTATTTTCTTATCAGAAGGGTTTTTGTGGATATTATAATAATTTCAATGGTTTAGATCGTGAGTTAAATGAAGCTAGATCACCATGGAAAACCTGGAAGCACTGGACGAACGTTTCGTTCTTCTATGGATCTCCTCAATAGTCCGAATCTAATATGAATTAACATATGCTCACTAGTGACTGGCTTCAAGAGGTATTTCCTAGAGTTCTAGTGAGAAGCACTGATTAGTGGAATTCAACTGAGTCAGTTGTGAGATAATAACTCACTGAAAACAATGGTGGATGTGTCGCTCAATCTAGTGGGTTGATTGAAGTTAAAAATTGACACCAGTGTATAACCTTCAGCTCGATGATCCAATGATTAAGCGCTTGCACGTGAGACTGAAGAGCCTAAGTTCAAATCTCGCGGGGAGAAATCATGAATCCGTATTGTTGAAAAGTCCCATACTAATACGAAACGGCCGTCCAGTGTTTACAGATTTTCTATAGTGTTCTCGCTTCTATTGACTCATGAGCTCAAGCATTGTCATTGTTATTTTCTTATTGATAAACTATCCATTTACTTAATGTTTTTTTTTCTGTTTGGTTAAAAACTAGGTGAAAATACTTGAAGATTGGTATAAGCTCATCCTTATACTATGATATATACTTATACTCTTATCAAAATTTCTTGGCATAATTTGTTCCATTTATAATCTTACGTCATAAATGATTGATTAGCTAAATTTACTTAAAAGAATATTAATCTATTAATTTATATATATGTGTATATATGAATTACAATATAATGATTTATTATATCTCTTTGATAATGGTCATAATCAAGAACACATTTATTTAATACTAATGATTATTGATATGATCAGGGATATTACTGCTTGAGTTGAAGCCATTATGAGTTCATTCAATCTGCGAACGAGAAACAAGACTCGATGACCAAAGACCAGTAAGCTAGCTATTGATGCGTCCCAGCCCCGCTAAATAAAGGGAGAAGTCCAAGCTTGGAATGGAAAGTATATTTTGCAAGCAACCAGAAACGAGCGATAACAACAAACACAATTTAAAACGTATATATACAGTACAAAACTGTCCTTATGGAAAGTTACCTAATAGCATAATAAAAGACGCAACGGACTAATAGCACTTAAGATATTTCCCAGTGGGAAATACGACATGAAGGTGACAAGAGCGCGTTTGGAGCAAAAACAAAGAAATTCAAATTTTCTAAATAAAATTACAAAATTAGGTCCTTTCTCAAATGAGTTCTGGGGATCTAACGTCCCCAACAATTCAGTCAGTCAGTCAGTCAGCTACAACGTAGGACCAGGCACATATGTGCATCGGTCCAGGTTGTCATACCGCATCAGCACAACAAGATGAACACCGGATTCATAACAGTGGTTAGGTAAAAGGTGGTAATATATAAGAGAAAGATTGCATATAGAGATATAGTACAAGAAGAAAGAATTTGTTCGTAGAAAGAAAGATATGAAGCGATTTTAATCTCTTAGTTTAAGGGAAGACAGGGAG